TCATTGTGGTGGGAGCAGGATTCGAATCCAGATCTTCTGACCATGAATCCAGGGCTCGTCCCCACCCACCTCTGGCGGGGCTTCCTAGATCTATGCAGGAGTCTTTCCACTCTCCTCCCTTCTGGTTTGGGGGTGACCCAAAGGCCCAGCATGGCTGCCAGGCGCCCAGGGGATGGGGAACGTCCGGCAAAGTCTTGAGGACCCTCAGTCCACCAGGCTGGCACTCCCGGTGGGCAGAGACCCTGCCTGCGACGTGCTGGCCTCCTCCCAGCTTGGTGCCCGCAGACAGGGCTCCTGGGACAACGCAGAATGCTGAGCACGGGGCCCCAGGGAGGAGGGTGTGCTGGACGGGTGGTCCCCAGGGGCCGGGCTGGAGGATACAGCCAGAGGGGACAGAGGGCAGCCAAGAGCTCCGAATCTGGCTGAGGTGTGGGGGGCTAGGGGCCAGTGCCTCCTGGGGCCCAGAGGCCAAGGGTGTGCGGGGAAGGCCACAGAATGAAGCGGGAGCAGGATGTGGAACCAGCCAGGGCAGTTCGTTGAGGGTGGCCTCCGCTGAGACACCGTTTACAGGAGAAGTCCCCGAGTACAGATGAAATCACCACCTAGGTGATTTCCTTCCGACCTTGCTGGCCTCCTCTCTGCCCCCACCCAGCTCCGGACGGCCAGCACCCTCCGTCTCCTGCTTCCCCACAAAGCTGCTTTCAGCCCTTTTCACATCCGGGCATTTAAACCTAAGTTTCCCTCGCCCGTCAGCCACCGGTACTGCATTCTGAGTCTGGCCCCAGTGCGCGGTGAGGAACCTGTCTGCTGGGAATGAATCTAGATGTGGAAGTTTGTAGAGGAACAGGCAGCCCCCACTGAACCCCCTCCATCGGCAGTGCCCACCTGACTAAGCATGAGGCTGTCAGTGGGCTTTTCCTGGATGGGAAGCAGGGCAGAAAATCTCCCATTCTCCACCCCTACCCCCAGCCTCTCAAGCCCATACTGGTTGAGTGTCTCCCAGGACAGGAAGAAGTGGCAGAGGCTTAGCTGAGTGTGGGCATTGCTGGGATTTGGGAATGGCCAGAATGTCTAGCCTAGGGTCAGGCCTCAGGGGACCCCTCAGGAACCTCTGCAGGGGGGCAGGGAGGGGGGACTGTCTGCTGCCTTTAGTGATAACCTGGCCAGCTGCCACCTACTGAAGGAGATGTCATAGGCCGCTTCACCCTTGAGGGGGGAACAGAGTCTGTCCAAAGGGTGTTCAAGGACCTGTAGTGACCCAGCTCTGACACTTGTCCCTGCTCGTGTCTAGGGCGCTGGACAGCCCGAGGCAGGCACCAGGCTCTCAGGATGAGAAAGGCAGACAAGAGGTGGTGAGTCAGGGTTTTAAGCGACTTAGGCAGAATGCGTTAGTATTTACCTGTGCCTCACCTCATTCCTCAGAGAATTTAAGTCCCAACCAAAGAAAAACAACCAGCTCTCAAGATGACCCAGAGAGGGTGTCAAAACCCGGACAAAATTAAAAAAGGCATCGTGCTGTCAAAAGGCCTCACGTTTAGTGTCGAACCAGCCGCAGATGACCCCTCGCTACTTACTTAAGCCGGCCTTTCCAACAGGCTCGCAGGGGTCCAAAGGGCGCTGGCTCTGTGAGATGTCATAACAGGAAGTAGCCCACCCTCGTGTAAATTTGGTAACTATGCATATTATGCCCCGCTCCCCTCACCCTGGGCAAGTCGCCATGTGTCATTATTAAAAAGCTCTGAGAAGTCGCCACACTGGACCTGGTTAGCATTTCCCAGACTTACTCGACCAGAGAACCCATTTCTCCAGGAAAATCCGCGAACCTCTTGAAGAGCTGCTTTCTTTCTACAGAACACACTTTGCGGGGCTGAGACACAGGGATAAGTCACTTGATCGTCCTTATTGAACACAGATCGATTACAGAAAACCTCTATCAAAAAATAATTTTCATGGCGAATAGTTGCTAGGAAGCTGTTTCTCGCTCTGAGTGATGACGTGACCATTATCAGGGTAACAGACTAGGGCGTACGGTAATACGGCCCCAGTCCAAGAACACGGAGGGACGCGGGATCCTCTTCCACGTGACGAACCATCCCAAACTAACTTCAGGTCATGACGACGTGAGGTACAGAAGGGGGCACAACGTTCCCTCCCTTTTTCCCTTACTTTTCATTTTGCTCACTTTTGCTCTTTGGCACATCGTACATACAGTTCCGTACCTCGTTTTCGCTCACGTAACACATCTTGGAGGTCAGTCCATATCACGAGAGAGCCTCTTCGTTCCACGCCATGGCCACAGTGTCGCTGTAGAGGGGCATCGTGACTCGTTTTACCCGTCCCGGATGGGGGGATGGTTAGCTTGTTTCTGGTCGTTTTATCCGTCCTCTACGGGTGGATGTGTAGCTTGTTTACGGTGGTTTGACGTGTCCTCGATGGGTAGATATGTCGTTCGTTTCCAGTCTTCTATTACAGCCAGCGCTGCAGTCGGTGACCTTACACACTCACCATTTGTTCATGTGACTGAGTCTTCCAAGGGGAGGGGGTCATGAGGTCCTGTTTCCGCCTGGGTGATCAGGAGAAATGCTTCTGAGACACGAAGGGGGAAGATAGAAGCCGCAACACAGGGCCACTGATCTCTGGGGTGTGGCAAGGGCATCCAGGTCTGGTGGGGAGCGCGAATCTGAGACGGGTGTGCAGTACCTAGATGTGTGACCCCCACACACACACGCACACAAAGCCAGCACCACTGCATCCAGGAGGGACAGTGTGACCTGTGGGAGAGCAGTGGATGCTTAGAAAAGGCCTGACGGTCACTTGTTTTATTGATCGCCTGGTCCATACCAGGTAGCATGTGGACTCGGGGGGCGAAGCCCCTCTAGGGAGATTTCCAGCCCCATCAATCAAGGACTCCGTGGTTCCTTACCACGCCAGAGCTGAAAACGCCCACTGCCCAATTTCTCTGCAAACTGTTAATTCTCAACACCTCGAAAAGCCCGCTTTGCTGTGTATAAAGGCCAAATTGACCCAAAAGGTTGTCTCTGAGGTCTGGCAGACAGAAATACCATGCCTTTTAAACTTTTACTTGTAGCTGTTGAACTGTTGGCAATGCACGTGACGTCCTAAGCCTTGTCGTCGCTGCTTTAACATGGAGATGGTCATGGTACCATCTCTGTCGGGCCGTCGTGAGGCATAAACGAATAATGAAACTGCAGCTCTTAGAACAGCAGCTGGCACAGACGGAGGCCCCGGTCAACAGCGGCCACTGCCCAGTTCTCCCAGCAGTCAAGTAGCAGG